ATATAATATACCTTGCTTTGTTATAGAGCCCATCACAGAGGTCATTACAGAGGGGAGCTGTTTAACACTGGGCAGACACTTGGCTATTACCCCAAACTGGGCACCCTGTGCTTTTATTTCCCCAGGCAAATATTGGAGCATATAATGCCCTGTTAACATGGGGAGGGATATTTGATGCAGCCTTTCAGGAGAGTTAGGATGGGAGCATGATTTCAGTAATAATTTAAATGCTGTTGGCAGTTTAAATTTATAAATAAATAAAAGCAAGTGCAATTGCATTGAGGATCTTCTGGAGAAAGCTCACCTTCAGCTCCTGCCAAGGTTTGGAATGTTTGGTATGAAGGGCGCAGCAAGAGTAATATCCTTTCCAAGGACATTCCCGTTTGCACCTTCACCCCATGGTCACTGTCCCCACAACCCAGCCGTCCTGAGCTGGGCTTTGCCCTGTGCTGTTTTGGGGATGGGTGCAGGCAGGGACGTGTCACGGCCACATTACCCAACAGCCGCGATTGCAGTTTATTGCCCCACCACGCCTGAAATTAGCCCCAGTGATTTGGCATAGAGCTGAAATGCAAACAGACTCCAGCAAGGTTCCTGGGTCGAGATCGCCTTTTTCGGACCCTTAGCACTGACTGAGTGAGCTTTGCCCTCTGAGGGCTTTGGGCACGCCTGGGGAGAAGGAGAGCTCATGGTTTTAACGGCTTGGGAGCAAAACGTGCAGGGTAGGAAGAAAAAGGGAGAGTGAGGCAGGAATGATGGCATGAGATAATGAGTTGGGATGAGAATTTGAAAGACATGGTAAGAAAATGCTCACTATCAGAGCTATCTTATAAGGAGAGGAGTTGAGAAAAGCTGGGTACTGAAAAGTACCAGGAGAAATGGGGTTTGCTCCTACTTGGTTAGAAAACACTTGTGTCTTAACGGGACCCCAAAGTTAGCTGGAACAGATCCCCAACCACTTCCCACGTTTGCCCGAGGGAGCGCATCAAGTGTCCACTTATGGCACCATCCATGGTCCCAAATGACTCTGGGCAAGGAGCTTGGCCAGGTCTGCTCGCACACGGCACAGCAATGAGCCCACGGGCTTCTCATCGGTATGGTTCCCACCAGGACTGTGGGTCTGTCTGCTCGGCCTTGCCTTCTCTTTATCAAAAGGAGGGGCTCTTAGCCTGTGGGAAGAGAAGGGATTATTTTACGTACAGCAAGATCCACCCAGGGATATGAACGGTCTCTTTGTACCAAATTGGATCTGCCCAGAGGAGCCCGCTGAGGGCAGGTGATCCGTTCCCTTCAGCACCTCTCGGCTTGGGCATCGGTTCTCGCTTGAGGGTTCAACCACCAGCCACTGATGGGATGATAAAGAGCCAAATTTTGATATGGGAGTGAGCTGTGTAATGAGTTACCACAGACATCTCTGCTTGGGCTGATTTATTACCGCTGCTAATTATTCCAATAAATCAGTGTTTGAATGAAACTTGCTGTTGATACTAAATGTGAAGGACTGGGGGAACTAACAGGAAAGAATCCAGCTGTATATATGAGAGAATTAATAAGGCTCAGCTTGGCAAAATGCAAGCAGAATTTGTAGATACAAAAGCGATATGGAAGAGACCGAAAGGACGGAGCTCCCTGTGTGTTAGCACTCCATAGGCATCACTTCACCAACAGCATCTTCACCAGCAAAGAAGAAAGACCAAAGAAGACACACTGCTGTCCCAGGGCTTTCTTACATTCTAGGAAATTTACTGTAATTAAAAAAATGCACATAAATCATGGAGAGCACTTTAAGCAAAGGCAGCACTGAAGTTGCGCTGACTGGGGCAAGGGGTTTGCAGGTGCAATACCAAAATCTTGCTGCTTTTCAGAAACAGCACAAAAAACCCTCTGAGATTGGACACATGCAAGATTTCTTCCCCATGTTTCCAAACAAATAGTAACCTAATGCATGGGGAAAAAAAATACATCTATCACCCAAGTGCATCCAGCCAGCTACTGAAGCAGAAAAACACCCTTTTCATCCCAGCCCAGCTCACTCCTGCAGAAAGCACAAAGCCAGTGAAAACGCGGAGCAGCCTCTGCTCTAGTAACAACCAGATTTTGCTTGTGCGTTGAGTCAGTGCTGTTTGTTTAGCTTGGTCACTACAGCTCTCGTGCTCCACCCTTCTACTTTTTTTTTTTGTCCTTTTTTTTTTTTTTTTCCCCCAGCTCTTGTAATCTGACAGAGGCAGGTGAAAGCAAGTTGAGGGAAAAGCCATTCCCCTGAAGAGCCCTTGAGCCCTGTCGGCGCCAGGTAAAGGACAGCCAGCCACGCCACTTGCTTTAGCCTAGAAACATCCCCCCCCAATCCCTGGAGATACGCTGGTGGCTGAACTGATTTTCCAGGTAAGCTTTTTCATTTTTTTTTTTTTAAACCCTGAATCTTGGTAGCTGAGCACTCCCTAACCAGGAAGTTCAATGTGTTTGAAGACAAAACAGGGCAGAAAATGGTGTAACGGCAGAGCAGGGAGTGCTCAGCTGCTCTTAGAAGCCGCCTTGTGCGATGCTGTAAGAGATCCGCTGGTTTATTTACTCACCTGCCAGCCCCAAGCAGATCGGACGTTTGTGCCATCTGCTTTATTTCACATAGCACTGTTGAAAAGTGTTATAAACACCCACAAGAGATGGACAGACAGACAGAAGAAACCCCACACTCATGTTTTCCCTTCAAGTAAAACTTACTGTATGTGTTTTGCCTGCGGTGGCAAAGTGAAAGAAAAGGAAAAGGAAAGCGGAAATAGCTCATTCCTCGTGATGCTGCTTTAAAGTTCCCCCAGCAAGAACTAAGTTTCGGTCAAATCTTCCAAAATGACCAGAGTTGTAGTTCTGGGGCTTTGGGGAAAAGCTTGGGAACGAGTCAAAAGCTGAACAAAGAGAATCCCCAGGATGATTATCTTGTGCTCTTAAGCCGATGTGGGATCACTGAGTCCTGCTTGCAGGAAGTAGGAGACGTGGTGATGGCCACGAGGCAATACTTACGGATTTCTGGAACGTTTCTATCCTAAAGGTTAGGAAATGGGGGTAACCAAACCGGGGACATCCTCTGCTTCTGCCAGGATATTACATGGAATGGAAATTCTGCATTTTCTTTGCTTTGTTTATAAACTGAAAGCATCTTTCCAAAATTCCCCCACACTTTGGTGTGGGCCATTTTTTTTCGTCAGATTGAGAATTGAATCCTGTTGGAACAGTTGGACTTTTTATCATGATTTTACCTTAAGAATTTTACTCAGGAACATTTGGGGACATCTTGGGTCAATAATCTGCACAACATCGCTCTGTACTTGGGTATGTCTGAAATTCCACAGTGCCTGGGGAGAAATAACTAAAATATTTGGCTACATCAAAATCCCTTTCTTGTTTCCTTGCCATCAAGGCCAGGGAGGGCTGGAGCTGCTTTCCACCCCCGTGCTGGTGAAACGCTCCCAGGAGCCTTTCTGCTGTGGCTGGGCTGGGGAGGGCGATGCCTGGTCCTGTACCCACGGGCAGCCACCCAGTGCTGGGGAGACTATGAGCTGCAAGAGCAACTGCATCCTAAAAATGATGTCAGAAATTGTGAAGCCCCTGAAAACTTGTAGTTTTGGCCCAAACCTTGGTTTCCTCCTGCTGCTGGTGTAGGGCTGTGATTAGCAGAGCCGGGGGGCTAATCTGTGCTGTGGGGAGGTGGATCACAGCAGATGTAGGAAAAATCCTCCCCCATGGCCTTTTCTGCCCTAAAAAAACCCTTCTGTGCTCCAGGTCATGTCTGCTGCCACCAGCACAGAGAGCGGGAGCAGGTGAGACCAGCTTGTGCCAGGCTGCCTGAATAACGACGGAAATACCACCGCAGGGCAGATTTATTTCACATTTGGTTGCAGGGGAGGCTCTGGACTGCTCTGCAAGAGTGGGAGGGTTTGTTTTCTGCTTCTGCTTCGCTGAGTCAAACCGCAAGTAAAGCAGCTCAGATCCGGAGAGTCTCAGCTTCTGTAATTTCCAGGAGGGAAACATTGCTGCTACTGTTTTTGTTCCTTCCTACGGAGATTTGTAGCTTTGCTGGGCAGGAACTCTCTGCTGAAATGTGCTTAGCACAGCTGGAGCCTCTCATCACAGCTGTAAAAGAAACAATTAAAAATAACATTTGTGCTCATCAGCAGTGTCCCATTGGCTTCCCTCAGCACTAATACTCACACTCAGCTGCCTTTGATGGGGCCATTAGTCAAACCCCGCTCCTCTTCCGAGCAGGCTGCCCATACTGATGAGCGCCCGTTACAAGGGATGGGGAAGATCTTCCTGTCACTTCTGACACAACCTATTATCTTTTTTTTTTTTCACCCTCCTCTCAGAGGCAGCATGGACATCAAGGAGTATTTCGCCAGAATTTCTTACCAGGGCTCCTACAGCAAGCTGGACCTGGCTACCTTGACAGATATATTCCAGCACCACATCCGAGCGGTCCCTTTTGAAAACCTCAGCATCCACTGTGGGGAAAGGATCGAGCTGGACCTGGAAGCGACTTACAACAAGATAGTGAGGAAGAAACGTGGGGGCTGGTGCATGGAAAACAACAACCTGTTGTCCTGGGTTCTGAAAACCCTCGGCTACGACATCACCCTTCTGGGAGCAAGAGTTTACGTCCCGGAGCGTGACGCCTATGCAGATGAAATGGATCATCTGCTGCTGAAAGTGGTGCTTGGGGACAAATCCTACATTGTGGACGGCGGCTTTGGGATGGCTTACCAGATGTGGCAGCCCATGGAGCTGGTTTCGGGGAAAGACCAGCCGCAGACTCCTGGGGTCTTTCGCTTCCTGGAGGAGAGCGGGGCCTGGCACCTGGAGAAGGTGAAAAGGAAGCAGTGGGTTCCCGACCAAAGCATCTCCACTTCCCACAATGTGGAAAAAGAAGCTTGCCGGCAGATTTATCTCTTCACCCTTCAGCCACGAGACATCGAAGAGTTCAGAGGCTGCAACACCCGCCTGCAGACCTTGCCGGACACGCTGTTTATGACAAAGTCCTTCTGCAGCCTGCAGACCACCACTGGCATCCGGACGCTGGTGGGGTGGAAACTCACCGAGATGACTTACAATTATAAGGATAATACAGATCTGGTGGAAATCAGGATGCTTGCAGATGAAGAAATGGAGAAAACACTGAAAGAGAAATTCAATATAACGCTAGAAAATAAATTTGTACCCATCAATATGGGTAGTTCGTCTATGTTTTAACTTGCTGCATGAATTATAATTCAATCCAGTGGCATTACATGCAGTCCTTCCCCCTATTTCTGACAAGCATCTAAAAGTTAAGCTTTCTCTTTCTGTCTACACCAGTGTAATGCACAACATATTAGCATGAATCTGGAAAAGAAATTGATTTTTCACAACTACTCCTGCATCTCCCTTTGGTTTGGGTACAAATAATGTCTTCCTAGCACAATCACATCACTGCCCTCCTGTTTATGCCTAGCTGGAAGCAGACTCTGCCCATTCTCCACTCCTTTCATCTCTTAAAAGCTTTTCCAAATACATCCAGCGTAGCGGGGCAGAGCGATGGAGCTGTATGTCTCTTGCTTTATTACTTTGCACTGCCACCTGGGGAAAATCATACCCACCTCTCAGATGAAAACCATATTATTTTTGGAATTTAATAGCCAGAAAAACAAAGACATCCAATGCTGAGTTTGCTACAGTCAAGCCATAAGCCCATCCTTTCTGGTCTGGCATTCACAACACCCTCTCCCGCAGCAGTCGGGCAGTCCCACACCATGTGAATACTTACAAAAGGGCTACTTATGGCCTAAAACTGATGATGAGAAATATTAGTGGACAATTCTGTCTTGTTTCAGACTTTACATGACTCCTGTTCTCTCAGTGACATAACCAAAAAGCCGTATTTCTTTGAAGTGAAAGCATCGCCCATGCATTTTGTCTGCTACCACCCAGCAGCGGACTGCTGGGAATACATGCTCCTCGCGTTAAGACTCTACTCTGAGTGTTATCACACATTAATTATCGTGGCTGAACTCAAACACGTGCAGAATTATTTTTCTGAAACATACCTGTTCTACTGAGGATGTGTTTGCAGTGGTACTAATTATATTGATATAAGGAGAAACGATGAATCTTAAACAGATACCTAAAGGCTAAGATTTTAAGTATGAGATATTACTCAAATGTAATCAGTTTGCCCTTTGAGAAGATGCTTGATGTTCCTTTATGTACAAATCGTGGAAGCATTACAACTATGCACTTATAATTAAGTAAATTATATAAGTGAATTACAATTGAATAAAAAAATAATGAATTGTGAAGTAGAACTATTCAGTTGTTTTTCCTCAAATTACGTGCATCCCTAAAGTAAAAAAAATCCATTAATCACCGAAGTTGTCCTGATTATTTGTATGCGCTAATATTTTGCAGCTAAAGCTTTTAAAAATACAATAACTCACTGACCCCCTTTTTTATTTGCTGTGCAATATGTGCAGCTTTATATAACTAAAAATTTATAGTTAGTAAAAGCTATTCTGCACGGTCACAACATATTTCATAGAGACATAGTGAGTTCCTCAAATCTCTGGCTTCCCAAACACCTCCATATGTGCTTGGCTGCATACGTGCAATAGTCCCTTATAGCGCATGAGGCTCCCCCATCCTATGGGGAAATGAAATGTCAATGCCTGACCCTGTAGTGGATTGCAGAAGAAAAAAGGGGCTTCTTATAGCGTCGACCAGCAGCTTGCAATGCAGATGGTCAGAAGACACTGTCCCAGGATCTGGGATCCTTCTTTGGTGCCCATGTTAGTGGAAGGCTGCACAAACCTGGTGGGTTTGTCCCTGCAGCAGCCACGGCAGAGCATCGGGATGGAGGTTAAAAACCTGGCCAGGTCTTGTGGAGGTGTGGGGCAGGAGAAGGTCCATGGCAGAGCCAAGAAGCTCCATCATTTGTGGGCACACACATGGGAAACACCTAGAAAGGGCTGTGGTGGTTCCTTCCCCTGCGCCTGGGTGTTTATCATGCTTTGGGCTGTTTCGGAGGCTCAGGGGAAGCGTAGGGTGTTATATCCATTGCCCCAGAGGTTCAGCACATGAAGGACAAACAAGAAGAGGAGAAACCTCTTTCCTTTCAGCTGACTCATCTCCTTGAGCGCGTGTCTCACCGGCCGATCTGGCTGCTGCCTGCTCGGCGCACAGCTCAGCGCTCCTGGCCCTCCGGCTCCGCACACCCACAGAAGCAGATTTTATTGCAAAGTAATTGAATGAAGCTCTGCTGGAAGGCGGGGGGGGAAGAGGCTCTTCGTCTCAGCTTGCACTAGTTTGCTCTTTCCTTATCACTAACTTTGGAGGCAAACCCTTAAAGGCGCAGCAGGCGTGGGGAGCGCAGTGCTCTCCGGGAACAGCATCCTCACTGTCAAAGGACAGGGCTTCTCTTTGAACCCAGGGGGATTTAGAGAGCTAAGTGACTTTGCAAATCTGACCTTGTTGCTTTGAGGGTCTGGTATCAGCCATGAAGGATAGCTCGGTGCGGTGTGATTAATTCAACAGTTGCCACCCCCCACCAATACATCAGTGACTTCTCGGCTTGGATTGCTATCTCTCCATCGTAAGTCGCTTCCTACAGAGATCCAGGCCACATGAGTGTCAGCAATGGAAAATCCGGGTCAGAAGTTGCACTATTGCTTTACTGCTTCAGCATGGGTGCAGCCACCAAGGTGCCCCAGAGACCGAAGCAGCTGGGTGACCCGCGGGGTTGGGGACGGGGTTACAACCACTCGTACAAGCTGCTTGCACTCCCCATACTGTATTTTTCCTTTACATTCCTGGCTGGCTTCAGTTCTCAATCAGTAATGTAGGAGGCTTAAATCTACTCAATATTGTATGTAATTTGAAGATTTTATCATTTTCAGGCTCCTTGTACAGCACCTAACACAATGAATGGCATGACAAGGCTTTCTATGCATATTCCAATACAAATAAACCAATAAAACCATCAGAATACAAAATATTATAAAAGAAAAAAACACTCTCCCCTCTTTTCCTGTTCTGCTGGAGGATAACGCCGCCCCTGCAAGGCAGCACAGGCAGCCTGGCCCTTTAAGAGCAGCCATTCCCACTACAACTCTTCCTGGGAACTTTGGAGCAAAGCGGGGTGGAAAGCCTGAGCTTGCTGGCCAGAGAGGTAAGTGTTCGAGTGTCTGATCTTTAACTTCATCCTGCGGCTGTGGGTCAGTCCGTCTGGAAAAGCCCACCCCATGGGGCTGCATTCCTCCTGCTTTGCACTGTCGGCATATTAGCGACGTATAAATCACAGCAACCCCGGGGCAGGCAGCATGCGTGTGCAAGGACACTGTCTGAGTACAAAGATCAAGTGCTCAAAACTTAAACTGACCCATTTATGCTGAGCCAGGGTGTATGAAAAACCCAGCTACTGACTCGCAGAGTAGCTTAAAATCAAACAAATGGTATAGGCACGTGCAAGAGGATCCAGCTGTGGAAGCCTCACGTGAATTTTAGCAGAGAAGAACTATTCCTAATATTCAGCCTAATTATGAAAGGACACGGTGATCCCCAGGGACGCTTGCAGACAGGTGGAACGAACGCCTGAATCTCGCTACCCACCTGCTCCTGAGAAAGTGTAGAAATGCAGAACGAGGCTCAGCTGTTGCGGGAGCAAAAGTGAACAAGGCTGAGACCTGGCCTGAGGCTTACGGTATTTGGCAACCTGGTTCTGGAAGGCAAAGTGTCCCCTGGTGGGGGGACTTGCTCCCTGCTGCAGCCCCTCGCTAGCTCGCTGGGAACGGTTGGGCCAAGAAGACAAGCTGCTTACGGGATGGTGAGGGAGTAAACTGGTTTACATGAACGCTCCCTAATGCCAGGGATTTTGTACTGCAGCTTTGTTCAACCTCTCGAAGTGTTCGCTGAGATCAGAGCCCATTCTGTCAGCCACCACAAGGCTGGCTGTATGATACAGACTGTACACTGGTGAGGACAGAGAAGGGACAGCTGGGGAAACTGAGGCACAGCCTGCAAATTTCCTATAATATAGTTTTTCAAAGTCTCATTGCCAACACCCCATGGAGGGTCTTGATGGGTGTGCTGGTTTTGGCTGGGATACAGTTAATTTTCCTCATAGTAGCTTGTATGGGGCTCTGTTTTGGTTACTTTGGAAGACAAACACCATCACTCTGAACAACTCTCCCTTCTTTCTTCTTCATCCAGGTTTATATTGCTGAGCATGGTGCCATATGGTGTGGAACATCCCTTTTGGGGTCAGCTGTCCCAGCTGTGTCCCCTCCCAATTTCTTGTGCAGCCCCAGCCTGCTTGCAGCAAATTGAGCAACCTGGGCTAGTGGGAGGTGTCCCTGCCCACGGCAGGGGGTTGGAACGAGGTGATCTTTAAGGTCCCTTCCAACCCTAACCATTCTCTGATTCTATAAAATTTCAAGCTTATCAGACCCAGCAGGCTAATAGACTCGTTTGGGTCCCTCCTGGGCACAGAGGTTCAGCTTGATGCCATCACAGGAAAAAGATGTTTCTGTCTGGCTATGCAAAATGGCTAAAAGTGGGAACAGAAAGAAAAATGAGGCAGAGAACCACAGGATGAGCTTCTCAGCGTACACACATGAGCTGTCTGTTAGGAAGGGAATGGCTTTCTCCAACCAGCGTTTCCAAGGAGATCCTGCCAGAGATAAGTGCCCCTGTCCTAAAAAAGGGATGGAAAAAACCCATAAAATGCAGTATCAAAGACACATTACTTATTTTTCAGGTAGCCTCTCTGGGTCCTTTTGAAGCGAAAATGTTTGTTTCTTATTCCCTTATTGGGTTAGTCTCTATTTTATTCCATTTTCCTGTGTTTTTGCATCAGCCAGTCTGAATCCTGGTACCAGTGCAGATCAGGGGCAATACAACTAAGCCAATGGAGTTGTGCTGCTGGCAGAAAAATTGGGGTTAAAACTAGAGATTAGGTCATCTGATGTGCTCACCTGCCAGAGCGAGGGTATTTCCACCTGCGTATTTGAGGTGGGATTTTCAAAAGGTCCCAGCACTCGCTGGCATGGACATTGGGTCAAACCGCTGGTCACTCCTTAGGGAGCAGCTGGACCAAAGCTGAGAACAGTGGCTGGAAGGTAATCCCTCCCATCTCATCTACATCAAGTGATTTTTGGAAAATCCTCCCAGGGAACATGCGACTGATTTCAAAGAGCAAGAAATCCTCAGACCTTTTGGAA